AGCACTGAGATTGGTCACTGTATGTTCCTGTAAGAGAACAAGAGCTATTAAAAGTGAAATTCAATGTATATTGACAGTTTGGATATATGCCCCATGATTCTTTCCCCTCTTTAATTTGAAAACAAATGGGGGCAGGCTCATGGAGGGTCAATTGTACTGGAGGCCAAAAAGTTTGCTTAGGGGATATAATATTAGTAAATTGAAAAGATCCATTGACAGGCACACCATGAAGCATTATGCCGGAATAACGGGCAAAAGGCGGCATGTGCATACACACCCAACATTTAGAAGCATGCAATAAACTGGCAAACATAATCATATCTTGTACAAAAATATTGTCCCTCCATATCTTATGATAATTTTCTCCCCTAAAAGTCTAATTCAACAATACTGTTCTTCTAGTTCGAGAGTGGCTGAGCCGTGGATACTGCCAGCCAGAGTAGGAAGCTGACAACAGCTGCTTGCCAGCCGATAAGGTGAAATATGGTGGTTTCAACTGGACTGGGTCGTCGGCTTCTCTTCCTTGTATAACGGTGCAGCAAAGGATGGCAAGGCAAATGGTTAGGAAGGCGCTTCCACGGTTGAGGAGGCTCGCCATGGCCGCACACATCGAGCTGGAACCCACAAAGGCTTGTCCTCGACGTCCACTGCCGCGTACCCTCATCCCCACGTGATCAGTGGGACAGGTCCATGCCACGCCGGATCAGGCAAGCGTCGGTACACCACCAAGGGGCGGGGGAGTGCCTCCTCCTTCCTAAAATGCAATTCAGCGGGGGTATGGGTCCTAAGATGTGGATATAAAAGATGGTTAAGTACAAAAAGAACTTGGTGAACTGCCGAAGGGATATCTGCTGTTGGTATGCTTCGGCTGCCAAGCTGTTTAAGCAATAGTGTTTTGAACGTCAGGTGTGCTCTTTCCACTATCGCTTGCCCTGTGGAGTTAAAGGGTATACCATGAGTTAATTTCACATTCCACAACATACAAAATTCCGAAAATGTTTTAGAAATATACGCTGGACCATTATCAGTTTTGATACACGCAGGTTTACCCATGACTGAGAAACAGTGGATAGTGTGCTGAATGACATGCCGAGCTGTTTCCCCCCTCATGGGCGTAGCCCATATGAATCCAGAGTGGGTGTCCACCGTGAGGTGAACCTTGGAGAGTGGAGCCAACACAGGTGTGTGTGTGACATCCATCTGCCAACACGCCAATGCAGACGTGCCCCTAGGATTGACAGCATCAAAAGGAACGGCCAGCTGAGATTTAGAACAGGAAGCACATTGGGACACAATATCCCTAGCTTGGGCCAAAGGAATAGAAAACTGCTTTGCCAATGCTTTCGCAGGGAGGTGAAAGGTGTTATGACATAGTACAGGATCAGAAAAGAGAGAAAAGGCAGAGATGTCCCTCAACGCTGCATCTGCTCTTGCATTGCCCTCTGCTAAATACCCTGGGTGCGATGTGTGGGAGCGAAGATGTGCAACATAATAAGGGAACTCTCTGTGCTGAAGTAAGGCCTGCAGGGCAAGAAACAAAGAAAACAAGTCAGAATCCAAGGAAGGAGTTATATAAGATATTGGTAAAATAGCAAAAAGGCGATATACATACTGAGTATCCACAATAAGATTGAAAGGTTGAGTAGGAAAGGATTGAAAGGCAAGAATCACAGCTGCTAGCTCAGCTTGCTGAGCAGAAGACTGTGGAGGGGTAAATAAACATTTCCATTTTCCTCCCTCCTCCCATGTTACCACCCCCCTACTTTTTGTTCCATCCGTGAAAAGGGTCAATGCAGAGGGGAGAGGTGTAAGAGACAAGGGGGTAGCCAAAACATAGGTGACCTGTGTCAGAAAAGTCAAACGGTCATCCTTTGGAGGGTTAAAAATGATGACACCTGTAAAACCTATAAAACCCAAAGCAATTTGCACAGTAGCATTAGTTATGAATAAATGCTGCTGTTCAGTCTGTGAGAAAGGCAGATATATTGATGCAACATCAGAACCACTCAAGGCCATGGCACGTGAACGTCCTTTGATAACAATGTCTGATGTGGATTAAATTACGGAATAAATGTTTTTTGGTGGGGTGTGCGGTAAATGTAGCCATTCTATAATGCAGATAGTCTTCTTCTTTTCCGTCTGAGCATATAAAATTCCTGTTGGCAACAATGGTGTAGCAAACACTGCCAGATGCAACTCGTGTGCAGAGGCTTCTGTGATCCTGTCCACGAGAATAGTTCGCAGTTGCTGATTAACGGTTTGTAATGCAGTAATCATTGCCAAAGTGACCTGGATTACATCTGCTGGATCCTTGTGTCATGCGAGCGCTGAGAACAATGGTGATAATGTGCTGGTAGGTAATGCAAGGAAAGAGCGAGCCCAATTCAAATGCCCAAGAAGTTGTTGTAATTGCACAAGCTTCATGCTTGAAGGGATAGTCAGTTGGGGAACAATAGGCAGCGCTGCTTGTGCAGAGACTTTATGTCCCAAGTAGGTGGCGGGCAACGTCAATTGAATTTTTTCAGGTGCTATACAGAGTCCCGCTTCCTCTAATGTGGCAGAAAGTTCTTGAAAAATGCCAGGCGGGAGTTCCTTAGCAGCGATTAAAATGTCATCCATGAAATGATAACATATAACCTCTAGGTGGCGCATGCGGAAAGGTTTCAATGCTTCACCCACAAAATGTTGACAAAGTGTAGGGGAGTTCCGCATGCCTTGAGGCAGGACAACCCACTGATATCGCTGGGTGGGCTGCGAATTGTTATATACTGGCAATGTAAAAGCAAACCGTTCCCTGTCTGCTGGAGCCAGTGGGATAGAAAAAAAACAGTCCTTTAAATCAATCACCGCCAACTGATATTCTCGTGGGAGCATATTTGGATTTGGCATGCCAGGTTGTAAAGTTCCCATTGGCTGTATTTGTTGGTTAATTTTTCTCATGTCCTGCAGAAGACGCCATTTGCCTGATTTTTTCTTAATAACGAAAATTGGGGAGTTCCAGGGAGATGAGGACGGTTCAATGTGGCCAAGGGTCAATTGTTCAGAAATAAGCTGGGCCGCTGCTGCTAATTTTTCTTTTGGTAGGGGCCACTGTTCTACCCATACTGGGGTAGTGGTGATCCATTGTAACGGCAGTGCGGTGCGTGGAAGTGCAGGGGCGGCCCTTAGAATAAATTTGACTCCAATTTGGTGTCTGCAATAGCCAAAATATCGCGCCCCCATAAGGAGACTGGAATGTCCATTATTAATGGATAGAGGGTGATCTGAACCCTGCTATCGCTTTGGATGAGTATTGGGTGGAGACTGCGCCGTGCCTGTGATTCACCTCCCACACCAATAACTTGTGTGGCTGGACAGGTGGGCCAACTGGAAGGCCAAGCAGATTTTGCCACGACTGTTACATCCGCCCCTGTGTCCAGAACTCCCTCAATGCGTCAACCTCCCACTGTCAGAGACACAGAAGGGCGCGAGGCTGTAATGTTCATGGCTGCTGCAATTAGGGGTAGTTGTTCGGATGGGGGGGAAATGATAATCTTCGCCACTGAAGTATTTGACTGTATTCTGCATGGACGATCCGCATATAGCGTGATCTCAGGGAAATTCACATATGGTCCGTGTGTTAGCATCGGTACCGCATGAATTCCTGCTGCTTGTGCAGATAATAGAGGTAATACCAGACAAGTGGCATGATTGTCTAACCCTGCTTCAGTGAGAACATAAGTCTTTAAAGGACAGAAAGGCAAATGGAATTCCACGTCCTGAGTCAGGCGAAGCCGTGGTGCTGTTTCCCTGGACTCCAGGGGGTCCCCTATTGATTTGTCTGGGCCCGGGGTGGGCCCTGCTGCCAGTTTCCCTGCTGTTGTCCTTGCTTATTTCGGGCAGTGTACTGACCCTGCTGTTGATTTTGAGGAAGCGATCTGCATTGATTGGCCCAATGAAAGCCTTTTTTGCAGATTGGACATTTGGTAGAAGGACGCCTAGTCTGTTGCGTGGATCTACATTGCGCCTTAAAGTGTCCTGGTTTGCCACACTGGAAACAAGTTTTATCGGTGGCTACAGGCTGGTTTTTATTTAGCGCTGCTGCCAGCAGATGAGCCTTGTGGGTGGCTGTACCTACAGACTGACAAATGTGAAGCATGGCTGCTGTGTCTGTGGCAGGATTGTGTATTATCGGTTGTAACGCAACCTTACAATCCTCATTGGCATTTTCAAAGGCCAATTGTTTGATAATTATTTGTTTGGCTTCAGGATTTTCTATTTGGCGACTCACTGCTGTAAGCAGCCGGTCCATAAAGGAAGAATATGATTCTCTTGCCTCTTGCCTGATTGAACCCCACCTTGATTGAATACTGGTAGGTTCTGGGATTTTTCTCATTGCTTGTTTAGCAGCAAGAGCAGTGTCCCTCAATAAGATTTGCAGCAGTGTGGCTTGCACTGAAGCCTGAACAAAGGGACCACGCCCCATCATGGCGTCTAGGACATCTGCGAGGGTAATATTTGGATTATTTCCTCTGATTTGTTGTAACAAAGCCGGAGCATAAGCACGGCAGGCAGTTTCCCATTCGTGGGCAAACAAAACACCAGCTGATGGGGGTAACACTGTATGGGCCAAAAGCTTGATGTCATCTGGAACCAAGAGTTGGGCTCATGTGGCTTCCAAAAGCGCCTGCGTATATGGGGCTTGGAGTCCATTGGTCTTTACTGACTGCTGCAGCTCTTTCAAGATCTTAAAGTCAAAAGGTTGGTGTTGGGCTTGGGTGCCTGCCGGGGCACCAGCAGGGGGCACAATAACAGGGAATGCCATAGTATCCTGAATTAAGGAACAGGCAAGGACTGCACGTTGAAAAGGGGTAGCTGGTTCTGCCGCTGAGAGAGTAGGATCATTGCCAGCCAGACCACGGTATTTTTGCAGGATTGGGTCCTCTGGTGAGGAACTGTAGTCCGGAGGTTTGGGGTCTGGGGGTGCTGGTAAGGCAAGTATTGGAACAGACGGTAACACAGCAGGCTGGACTAAAGAAGCTGGAGGTGATGTTGGCAATACGGCCATGGAGATATTTTTTGGTGATAAAGAGCCCATGGCGTAACGAACCTTGCACCATGCATTTAGAATCCGAACACCAATGCTGGGGTGTCCATGAAAATGTGCTCCAATCTTATCCCAATGCTTTAATTCCCAAGTCCCATCTTCAGGAAACCAGGGGCAATGCTCATCGATGGCCAGAATAAGCTGTATCAAATCACCCTCAGGAACTTCCAATTTGTTGGAGGAGAGGAGAAATTTTAAGTCTTTTAAAAATTTCTGTTGGGGAGTAGACAAAGAGCTGCCCATTTTTCTAAAATCAAAATAAAAGAGATCGAACTCACCAGGGATCCGAAGATGATTAGCGCTTGCAACCCTTGCCGGGCGTAGTGAGTCGATGATATCCGTTGCGTGGATCGAAACACCTCACACGGTTTTCTTTTAAAAGCCTCAGACGTATTCTTGTAGTCAGCCACACAGGGGGCACCGCTTGACGGAAGCCAGCCGTCACAAATGGCGCTGTTTAGCATTTGAAAAAAGACCCAGAGAGCCAGCAATATTTTCAGGATGGTATGAGCAGCGCCTTCGACCACCCTCCTCCGATTTTATTCTCCTTTGTTCTCTCCTGTCGCATGGCCATTTGCCAATGTCTCACGTTACCTCATCCGGTCATGGCTTTTACCCACCCATCGCCATATAAGGTAATTACTGCCCAGAGGGGGAACATAACTCCATATAAGGTTATGCACTTAATACACTGCAAGGCACGGACATGCAGGTCACCGAGGTCAGCGAGGCACCAGGTGGCGCTACAAGCCTTTGCCATGACTTCATGGCTCCCACAGGATAGGAGGTGATAAATGAATGAATGACTATTAGGCAACCTAAATACTTATTCACGGAGTGTGGATCCTTATGCAGTTTAAACGACAGCATCCACATATAAGAGGGAGGTTATCAGTGGAGTCTCAGTGTTTCCGGAAACACAAAAATCTTTAAGTGGAAAACTCTAGAGAGATGAGAACTGAGCATGTTTAGCATCTACAGAAGCTGGAGTGTTGCTGGGATCTGGGAAAGAATGGAAAACCAGAGGTGAGAGTTGAATGGAATGGAAAATCTTGGAAAAGGGCACAGCTGGCCAGCTGGCCCTGTGAGCAGGAGCACTCTACATTGCAGCCCACTTGCAGTAGCTGGAACTGGAATCTTCATGTTCAAAGGCTTTATCACTCTGGTTATCATTTGCTGGCAACCAAATACCAGGGGATGGCTATCATCATGATGCTCTGTCCCCTGAGCTTCTAGGGGCATCTGGCTTAGACAGCTTTGGGGGAAGACAGTGATCCTGATGTATTTATTTATTTCTTAACAGTCAGAGCTATCCTCCAGGAGTTCTTGGCCTATCCCTGAAACTGGCAAGGAATACTGGCAGCAGAAGAACAAAAGCTGCAGTGACTTTACTCAGAGGCCTGTTGCAGAGAGTTTATCCAGTCATTGCACAAGACAGCCAAGGCTGGTGCCCCGATGCACGCAATGGGAAGCGGCACTTCACAGAATTAATTTGCGGAGTACATTGCCGCACGTCGTGGTTAAGGCCACCGGCCAGATGAGTTTAAAAATGGCTACTGACACATGTGGCACAAATGGCTTATTATCCAATAAACAAGGGTCTTATGTATTTCAAGTAGAGCTGTACGTGCAGCAATGTAGTCCGTAAGTTAATTATGTGAAGTACTACTACTTTTGTCCTGAACCGACTGCCAGTCAATTTCATCGCATGACCCAGAGTTCTAACGTTTGGAAATGGAGAGAGGATAATTCTCTCTACTCAATCTCTTCTGGTTAATAATTTTAATAAACATGTATCATGTCCCCCCTGCCTTAGGGCCAAAATTGATGGAGCACAAGGGATGCACGAACAGCCTCCGTGTGTGTGTGTGTGTGTGTGTGTGTGTGTATGTTTAAATGCAATGCAGCTTCAGGCTACTGCATATTTGATTAGAACAGTGGGGTGGAAAGCTTAATTCTTTGTCTATGTGGGCTGTTTCCTCAGTCAAAATTCACTCAGCTGGTTTTCCACTTGCAAGGTCTCCATATGTTTCCCCCTACAGGGAGAAAAGCAACATGAGGGGAGTGGTTTTGATGGGAAAGGGCTCCGCAATATCTCCCTACAATCAAATTCACAGCGCCCTCGCCACCTGCATCTTAAATCCAGAAGGCTGTCATGACATTTACTGGTCCAGTCTATCTTGGTCCAATTCATCTTTTCTTTTTTACTAAATTAGAAAGTTCCATCGTATGGGAGGGCGATGCTCTGCTTGCTTGCTCATTGTAGATGCTCCTTTTGGTATTTTCTCTGGCTCTACAGTATTTTTGTGGACCATCACATGCAGGGCTCAGAGGCAAACCTGGCTTTACCACTGAGCGCACACTTAGCAGTGAGCTGCTGCCAGTCACAACTCCATGATGAGTATGCCTGTGTATAATGCATCTGATTGCATATTTGTTGCATTCATACACATGCTTATTATGCTTGTTCATTTGGCAAGGCTGGCCGAGCTACTGCCCTCCAGATGTTGCTGAACTACAACTCCCATCCTCCCTTGCCATTGGCCGTACTGGCTGGAGCTAATGGGAGTTGCACCTCAGCAATATCTGCGACAATGCAAGAGGTGGCATTTGACTTTTTACACTAAAGGAATGTGTGTGGGGAAGGGCAGTGCAAAGCCACAGCTTCCTTGTGCTCTGTTTCCTTCCACAAATGTACCGTATTTTTCGCTCTATAACACGCACCCGACCATAACCCGCACGTAGTTTTTAGAGGAGGAAAATCCGTAGGCATGCCACCCATAGGCATTCCCTCCATAACACGCACAGACATTTCCCCTTACTTTCTAGGAGGAAAAAAGTGAGTGTTATGGTGCAAAAAATACGGTAATTTTGGAACTTCTTTCAAAGTTGGCATTTCCAGACTTGCATTCGAGAATGAGGGCTAACTAGATGTGGTGTTAAATGTTCCTTTGCATTTAACAAACACTTTCTGGAAAACGAACTGCAAAGAGCTGCTGCTTAGGCATGTGTGATAGCCCTTTCTCCCTCTGTTTTTGGTCCTGGGCTAAGCTGCTATTTGCATTGGGTGGAAATCCCCCAGCAGCTGCTATTTTCATTTTTTTTTTAAATGTGCACATCAAATCACAGAATCACGGATCTGGAAGGGACCTCGAGTGTCATTTGGTCCAACCCCCTGCAGTGCAGGAATCTCAACATGTGGTCTAATTTGAAACAGGACCAGACCCTGCTTAGCTTTGCAATGTGCTAGCAGTTTTATTGCTGCATGGAAGGACACCTTCAGTGCCACATCTAGTTAGGCCCCCGAGCAACAAGCTGACTCGAGGAAGAGCCACGGCTCAGTGGCAGAAAACATGCTTTGCATACAGAAAGTCTCATGTTCAACCCTGACAGCTCTCATTTAAAAAATAGCAGGGTACAAATGATGTGGAAAACCTTTACCTAAGATTCTAGATTGCTGCTCATAGTAAGGGATACTGGGCTAAACAGATGGGCAGAGCGATTGCCAGTGGCTTTGGAGTGGGTGACTCAGAGCAATGCGGTAGCATGGGAGGTGAAAAGGTGGCGTGGTTTCTTCATAATTTTTCACTACATCAGCTCTAACAGGTCCAAGGAACGCTGCCTCCTCCTCCATAAAACACCCTGTTTCAGGGTTTTCTAGTTAAAAGGTAAAGGGACCCCTGACCATTAGGTCCAGTCACGGATGACTCTGGGGTTGCAGCGCTTATCTCGCTTTACTGGCTGAGGGAGCCGGCGTACAGCTTCCGGGTCATGTGGCCAGCATGACTAAGACGCTTCTGGCGAACCAGAGCAGCTCACGGAAACGCCGTTTACCTTCCCGCCGGAGCTGTACCTATTTAACTACTTGCACTTGACGTGCTTTTGAACTGCTAGGTTGGCAGGAGCAAGGACCGAGCAACGGGAGCTCACCCCGTCATGGGGATTCGAACGGCTGACCTTCTGATCAGCATGCCCTAGGCTCTGTGGTTTAACCCACAGCACCACCCGCATTGCCATTACTCAAATACAGTGCTATTTTTCCAGAAGAAGAGGTGCCAGAACTCACCATGAATGCCTCCCTTGTTCTCTTATAACGGCAGTGGTGCCCACCTGAGAAGTGCCAAAACTGAGTTCTGGCAAATTCCGGCTTAAAAAACCACCCCTTGCTCAAACAAGTGGTGCTGCAGGTAGCTTTCTACCTGCCTGGCTGAAGGCAGGGGCTTCCTGTGACACAGCCCACCTGTCAGGGACTGTGCAGAGGAGGAATGGTGGAGATCGCTTCCCCAGCCTGACTCTTCCAGAGAAGAAGGAGACAGTTCAGAATTACAACAGGGGTTTGAGAGAGGTCACAGCTCAGAGGCAGATGAGGGGAAAAGCTGGAAAATAATGGGAGAGGAAGAGGAGGAAGCACCACCAGGAGAGAGACAACTGATGGACTCATTGTCTTTAGAAAGCATTCCAGACCCCCCCCAAGAACCCGGCAGGCATTGAAAGTAGGAGAGCAGAGAGCTCAGAGGCAGAAGGCACAGCTCAGCCACCGTAGTGATGACGTACATAATGGGAGAGATGGAGGGGGCAGGATTTCACTCGGAGCAACACCATTCCTCCAAGAGGCTGCATTTCTAAGCCTCTCTCTGTGAATATTGAATAAAAAGCATAGGTAAGAACTTCCCTTGTCTTCTCCATTCCTGGCAACCTACTGGGGGGGGGGGGTTGGATCCTCTGACATCTGACACCACCCACTGGTGGTGCCACTGTCAGAGAGGCACCTATACACCATCTTATCCCCCAGCTGTCTGCATCAGGACCAGTGGTGGTAGGATTGTGCTCAAATAATCTGGTGGTATAAATTCCTCTACTCCTTACTGGCTTCTGATGGGTGTAAAGTGGCAGTCTTGTAATAAATACCTCCCGTCTCACATTTCCAGCCTCCTCATAGTAGTTTTTTGGAGGGGAAAGGGCATAATTCCCCAGCAACTTATTTCTTGCAAGCCCCATTAACATGAACAAGAGTTACGCAGAAGCACAGCTGTTCATTTTTCAGCAGGGTGCCTGCGGTTCACGTAAGACTGACCCCTAAGCTGCGATGGCATACGGAGCCACTATCACCTTCCATGCTTCTTTGGAGAGACCTCACCGGAGCCAGGATACACGACGAGCCTCGTACAGCAGTAGACAAAATAAACCTGAAAGGGCCAAATGCTGTTTGCTTCGTCTAATCCCTAATCCTTCTGCGTTAGCCG